CGACAAAGACGGTAAGAACGTGCACTGACACACAAGCACACGCAAGGCAGAGAACACACACACACACAAAACACACACTGACGCACACAACGCGCAAAACACACAAGCACACGCAAGGCAGAGAAGGCAGAGAACACACACACACACACACACACAAAAACACACACGCACACTCGTTCACTCACTCACCCACTCACGCGCGCACTCACACACACACACAGACACCGCATCGATCTAACCTGATACGTGGATGCGAGGAAAAGGTCGCCTTCACCTGATGATAAATGGCCGTGTAAGACGCCGAGACACGAAGGAGACGTGCCACTTCTGCACGAAACACGCCTGGCAGCTGTAGGTGACGCAGGTCCTTCGAATGTGAGTGGTAGTTGAACATCACCACCCGCACTCGCCCGCCTTTGCAGACCTGCCCCCACATCATTGCTGGACAACACCCAACAGGTTTTGGCGCCTTTGCACGGTGAGCGCGGATTGTGCCCTGATATGGTCGCTCATTGCCATGCCGAGAGCACGTCCGGACGAATTCTTCTTCCACCTGTACCCCACGCGGCAGCTTTTGGTGGGAAGCAGCAGGTGTGGTCACGCTTGACGTAATCGACGAGGGCAAAGTCGTCACACTCTGCCGCGGCGATGCACGACTCGAACCTGCTCCACGAGGCGTAGTAACGCACGACACAACCTGCAACGAACGACGTCGGGCAGGAGAGACATTGCTGATGAGAAACACAGGATCGGAGACAACAGGCAGGCCACAATCAAATACTCACATGAGGCGTCGTGATCCGTAATAACATGCTGCATGAGTTCCTTCGCGGTACAAAACGCAGCATCTGCGCAACCGCTCCGGCACTGAAAATGACCACGCGCCTGGCATATAGGGCAGAGCGCCGCTGGTGAGTAACACACGCACATACACACACAAAAGAGCGCAGACACACGCACGCATAAACACACACACACACACGCTGCAAGCGTGTACAATCACCACCAGATTCTGACCTTCTGTTTTCCGTGGTCGCGTAGTTGGTGCCTGGAGAGCGCCTGTCTGCTGCTGAAGGTCTGTGTACATGTGTTCTCGGGGCATGGGTACACAATGGCAACCTCGTTGCTGTTATTCTTGAACGTTTGCAGAAGGTCAGCAACGTCAGCACCTTTGTGCGACGTGCAGATGTGACGCTTGGCAGAGTCGAAACGAGTGAAGCGGGCGCTACAGCCAGACGCTGGGCACTCGAAAGGTTTCGTGTCTAGTGAAATCGCCGACAAGTGGCGTGAGCACACACAAGCGCAAACACACACACACACACACACATACACACACACACATACACACACACACACACACACGCACACACAAGAGCGCGCGCACACACACACACACACACACACACAAGAGCGCACACACGGAGTGTTGTTTCGTACCCGGGGTGACGACATGTGCCTGGTGTTGTTGTGTCGTCGCGGCTGTGACTTCTGACCCAGTCCCTGGGATACACACATGCACATGCAGCTAACCATGAACACACACACACACACACACACGCACGCACGCACACACACAAGAGCGCACACACGGAGTGTTGTTTCGTACCCGGGGTGACGACATGTGCCTGGTGTTGTTGTGTCGTCGCGGCTGTGACTTCTGACCCAGTCCCTGGGATACACACATGCACATGCAGCTAACCATGAACACACACACACACGCACACGAGCGCGCGCACACATACACACACACAGACACACGCACGCAAGAGCGCAAACACACACACACGCACGCAAGAGCGCAAACACACGCACACGCACGCACAGGCGCACACACATAATCACACACACACGCACGGAGTGTTGTTTCGTACCCGGGGTGGCGACAGTTGCCTGGTGCTGTTGTGTCGTCGCGGCTGTGACTTCTGACCCAGTCCCTGGGATACACACATGCACATGCAGCTAACCATGAACAGACATGCACACAAGAGCGCACAAGCACACACGCACGCACACACACGCACGAAGTGTTGTTTCGTACCCGGGGTGGCGACATGTGCCTGGTGTTGCTGCGCCGTGGCTGTGACTTGTGACTCAGTCCCTGGGATACACACACATCACACATGCGCATGCAGCTAACCATGAACACACACACACGCGCGCAAGAGCGCAAACACACGCACACGCACGCACAGGCGCACACACGCACGCACACACACATATGCACGGAGTGTTGTTTCGTACCCGGGGTGGTGACATGTGCCTGGTGTTGTTGCGCCGTGGCTGTGACTTGTGACTCAGTCCCTGGGATACACACATGCACAAGCAGCGAACCATGAACACACACACACATGCACAAGCACATACGCACGCACACACACACACACACACGCACACACACACACACACACACACACACACACACACAAGAGCGCACATACACAAGAGCGCAAACACATGCACAAGCACACACACACACACGCAAGAGCGCAAACACACGCACACGCACGCACAGGCGCACACATATAATCACTCAGAGATGCACACATAGACACTCATGCACATACGGACACAGGCAGGATGGGGCCATTGCGCACCGTGTGTGTCATTGGCGGATTCGTCGGGCAGAGGCAGTAACTCTTCAGTGATGCGGTCGCGGACAGACGAAAGAGGAGGTCAGGGTGGTTGTTGTGTGAAGTCAAGCGATCATGTGAGGGACAGCCAGGCAGGGGAACACTTGAACACCACATGAAGGCTGTTGGTTGTGGGCAAGAGACGTGGGGATGACAAGTGCGCACCGAGGGTATCGACCAAGTCTTCAGGAGAGATTTGATCGGGAGTGGTGTGGATGGATGCCATCGTTGGAGTGGGGAGGGGTTGGTGGGTGAGGGCAGTGGGGTTGTGCAGTGTGGTGGGGAGGACGGGGTCGTTGCAAAAATGTTTATTTGGGTCAGACACGTTTTTCAAAAGGCAGAATATTGGGTGTGTGGTGGGGAGCAATCTCAGGAGCGGTGAGTGGGCCACCGGGAATGCAGACGCACCCCCCCGTTGCTGGCTGGCTGGCGCAGACAGCACAAAATTAGTGCAACCGTCACGACTTTTGTTGCCTGCACGCACATACACTGCGCACCAACAATGGCGCTTGTGGTGAGGGCAGCGCGACCGGTGGTGCTGCTCCTGGCCTTGTTTGTCATGGGTGTGCTGCTGGGATCGCTGTGGACAAGACACCAGCTCAGCACCGCCATTGAGCAGCAGTTCCAAGAACAGGTTCAGCTGCAACAGCAACACAAATGGCGCCAACACCTGTCGCTCATCGGCGATGGTGCGACGCAGCGTCAATCCCATCCTCACACTCAGCGTCACGCTCCTGGTGCTCGCTCAACGCCAGCGAGAAGTGGCGCGTCCTCCACCAGTCCCCTCACAGCCGGGACAACCACGACGATATCAAACAGTGAACTGCCTTCGCCGCAGCCAGGAGGAGATCTGGACGGAGGGAATACGAGCAAGTCGGGCGCGGCAATGCATGTTCGCACCCGTCATCGATCCGGTGGAGGCAGCAACCAGAACAAACGGGTTGTCATCATCCCCGACATGGGTCAGGCAGCGCACGACAACCACAGCCAGCAAGAACAACAGGGACAACAACAACAACAACAACAACAACAACAACAACAACAACAACAACAACAACAACAACAACAACAACAACAACAACAACAACAACAACGACAAATTGGTGGTGGTGGGTGGGGTGGATCAAGCTCCAACTCGCGAAGGGGAGGTGCGGCCTTCTCCCATCTGGCAAACCCAGATGTCACGCTGCCCTCCCTACCGGCATCCCTGCAGCCGACGCCAAAGCGCGCACGCCTGCTTGTTCTTGTGGTCACAGGTGGCACAAAGGCAACAGCAACCAGCAATCGCAAGGCTGTCCTTGAAACCTGGGCAAACAGCACAAGCTTGGACCACTCCAACGTCCTCTTCGTCACAGACGCGCCCGATATCCCAAACGCGCGTGCCATTCGATTGCCGCCGCCTGCGGAGCAGGGCGGTTCCCAAAAGCTGGGCCGGAAGGTGCTGCTCATGTGGGAGTACGTTGCGCAGCGCCTTGACACGGAGTTCCGTGACTTTGACTTTTTCATGAAGGCCGATGACGACACCTTTGTACATGTGCCCAAGCTCGAGCGAGACCTCCGCCTGCTCAGCGCGGATGAGCCGCTGTTCCTGGGCAAGAAGCAATATGGCGGCGGCGTCCGTGGCACCGCTGCCGCTAACCCATTATTTCAGGTGTTATAACAAGGCTTCGCTTTGAGGGGGTGGGGTGGGGTTGAGTGCGTGTCTGCGATGCGTGTGCACGTCAAGCTGCTTTACATTGTTTGCATGCTTGCACGTGCCCTCGGCACTTTCTTGCCTTTCCTTACTAATGGTAGCTCTACTGCGACTGCTGCTCTACTGCTACTGCTACTGCTACTGCTGCTACTGCTGCTACTGCTGCTGCTGCTGCTGTGCGTATTTGCTGAATAATGTGTGTGATGTAACCTCTCCATGCTTCGGTTCCGACGTGCACAGCGCAAGAACTACATGAAGGTACGGTGTTGTGCGCATGCTTCAGAGCATTGCGGTGGGATGGCATGAAGCACCTTTGAGCTTTTGAACCATCTTCGTTAACATACTCACGACGGGCTTCTCTGGGGCATGTGGCAGTTTGCACATGGGGGTGCTGGATACATTCTGAGCCGTGGCCTTGTGAAGGCGATGGAAGGGTCGTTTTCACGCTGCGTCTCGCAGAAGCCGCAGACGCCGTTGGAGGATGCAAAGCTGGCTTCATGCCTGTATGCATGCGTCGGTGTGGACACCATCAACGTCGGTGGTGCGGTGGGTCCCTTTGGTAACCTCGATGTCTTTGGGAATCGCCATGGCCAGCACATCCATGCGGAGCGCCTCTCCACCTGGCCCTGGTCAGTACAAGAGAGAGAGAGAGAGAGAGAGAGAGAGAGAGAGAGAGAGAGAGAGAGAGAGAGAGAGAGAGAGAGAGTGTGTGTGTGTGTGTGTGTGTGTGTGTTCGTGCGAGTGTTTGTGTGTGTGTGTGCCTGTGTGTGTATGCCTGTGTGTCAATGTTGTCGGCGTTATTTCTTGAGATGAAGGAGCTGCTGTGGGCCAGAAGACGATGAGCTCTTGGGTGACACAAAGCCTCTGAGCACGACTAACGTTTGGCACTTTGTTGATTGTCCTATTGTCGCCCAGGGAACGGTTTGTGGTAGCTGGATCCTTTCACAGCGTTGAGGCGGAGACGACAAGGAGCATTCACAGGTGATGGGACGATGCATTGCAGTTGTGTTGAGTGTGGATTCTGTGCTTGCCCTCCCTCCAGCACTTCAGTACCTCACCTTTGCCACCAATCATCTGCTGTGCGCCTCGAACAAAGGTTGTTACAAGGAGTGCCAAAGCGTGAAGCTGCAGATGTTGTGGCCAGCAACGACAAAGCGACACGGGAGGTTTGTATCCACTGTTTTGAGACTGCACTGCACACCTGCATTGTGGGCTTGTGTGTTCCATACCTTTTCCTCTCACTTCTTCCGTCATTCCTTGCCTCCTTTCCTTCCTCACGTGTGAACGCACACACACACGCACACACACACACACGCACACACACACACACACATACGTGGTGTAGTTTGTCATCAAGTTTGCGGCCGGCTTCTCGTCTGTGTATGCATGCAAGGTGAACTGGCAACCTCTGCGACCACTACACTCGCAGCAACTCCACCAAAATGATCAGCAAGTCGAGACAGGAGACTCTCACGAAGGTGTGCCCACGAACGAGCTCGCCAACAATCGCCACGCCACATCTTCAAGGACGACAGCGAGCAGCGCCATCTGCTTTGGGCCAGGGCTGCACCCAACACTGGCAGGGCCTGTGCTCGCGTTTCAACACCAGTTCTTCACGCGCCCGCGCTTTCGAGCTGGCGAGCGGCGGCCCGTGCGGTGCCGCGATGCGTTTGTGTGCTGTGAGACAACGGAGGGTGATGAGGAGGGGGGCGTCGCAGACACAGAGAAACAACAACAACAGCAGCAGCAGCAGCAGCAGCAGCAGCAGCAGCAGCAGCAGCAGCAGAAGACAAGCGATGGTGTCCCTTACATCCGAGGCATACCCATGAACATTGATCAGAGCACAGAGGTTTCCGAGAACCCAGCAGCCAGGCAAGGTTCAGCGTACAGTTCACACTTGTACACGACACTGCACTCACCTCGCGTCGTGTTGGTGGCCGTTCGGGATGATCGGGATGTGGAGACGCTCCCATCACTGCTCACTTCGCTGGAGACGGCGCACGTATGCGCAGATGTTGTCCTCTTTCTCGGCAACTCGCTTCCTCGAGATCATCTCTTCTTCACCGTGAGTGGTGGTGGTGGAGGTGGTGCCTGGTGATATCCGCAGTCGTGCATCGCTTGTAAGACATTGCTCAGTTTGAAACTTTATTGTTGACGATGCTCACGCAACCCGCGAGTGCACGTTTCATGCTGCACCTCATGCTGCCGTGCAATATTGCTGCCTTGCCGCGGCTTGTGGTTTGCGATTTTGAACGCGTCCCGCGCCACTCACTCGCTCATCTTTCGCTGTCATCTCGCTGCCGTGCATGTTGATGTTGCAGATGCGCCATGGGCGGTTGGAGGTCGTGGTGAATGCAAACACAAACATGATGAACCCAGAGCACGTCGCCGCGGTGCAGAGCGAGTTCCTCTCCACCCACACCGGCTACAAGCAGTCGATTGCTGTTGATGCACGCGCCGTGTTTCAGGCGGACCCTTTCACAGCATTGAGCTGGGACCGCGTGTCGTTTGCAGTGCAGCAGCCTGAACAGTGGAGCCTCAAACTCACCTGCGGCTTTCCATCGGTATGCAGCCTTGTGGGGCATCGTGCTTGTGTCTGTATCTGTGTGTCGTGCTTGTGCGTCTGTGTGTGTGTGTGTGTATGTGTGTATGTGTGTGTCTCTGCATGTGTGAGAGAGTGCAGGGTATCTGCTTGTCGCCTTCTTTCTTTGCGTTGTACAAGGCGCGACTGGCAGGCGTTTCTTGCTTGCATGCATGCAAGCATCTGTTTTGGCCCATGACTTGCTCCATTCCCTGGATCTGTTGCTTGTTGAATATTCACACCCCACGTACGCACGCATCCACGCCCCTGGCCTCAATTTCCAAGAACCATCAAGTGAACCTGCATCCGCAGTTGAGCCCTTTCTTCTCTTTTGGCCCCGCTGAAGCCCATGCACGCGCTTTAATGGCACTCGCGAGTCTTCGCCAGGTAAGCTGAGGGTTGGACGACACTGTGCGTGTGCGTGTGCGTGTGTGTGTGTGCGTGTGTGTGTGTGTGTGTGTGAGTGTGTGAGTGTGTGAGTGTGTGAGTGTGTCCTCTTCTTGCTTACATAGTTATATGCGGTGCAAATGTGCACGTGATCCTGCGAGTATCGTTGACATTGAAACACCGAGCTTGACTATTCTTCCCTCACCTTCGTCGCTCGTATCTACACTTTCCTTGCCTCTCCTCATCTCATCACCTGTCTCCTGCACTCCTTCCAACGACCCCTCCATTCCTGACCCCCTCTGCCGATCTCCATGGGTAGCGATACGCGTCCAAGTGCAGCCCGCGGGAGCTGGTCTCGGAGGCCGTGTGGGGCTGGCAGGTGGCGCCGTTTGCGCGCGTGGCGGTGCTCGCACCATGGGATGGTCCTGCTGCAGATATGGCTGCACCACTCGAGGAGCGGTGGTGGAGGGTGCACGACCACCCGCCGCCACCGCCACGACGCCCGTCGACAGAAGCAGATGCAAGCAGACGTGATCGTGATGCTGGTGGTGATGATGATGGTGATGATGGTGGTGGGGAGAGTGAGTCAAATGCCCGCCAACAGCAAGCGGGAGGACTCGACGCCATACTGGGTGCGTTGACCGGCCTCCCAGGCATGGCTGGGACACACGCGTCACCAGCATCGCTGGGCGTGACGGTGACAAACTACGAGGGCGATGGCGTCGTGGTGCTGCTCAACGCCGACGCAGCGCTCACGCGCGATGCCACCGCTCCGCAATTGCTGACAGTTCGGGATCGCGCCATGCTGTTAACGTCACCTCGCAACCCGCCACCAGATATCGACGACTCCTTAGCTGTCGGGCGACAGCAGAAAAAGGCATCACCATGACACCGTGAACACGTGTGTGTTGTGTGTATGTGTGCGTGTTGTGTGTTGGGGAGTGTACGAGGTACCAAGTTAGGATTGGTTGGGGATGTCGCTGTGTGTGGCTGTGAAGCATGGCTGCTGTGTATGCACTACAGCTTTCACTCTCGTCGCTTCGCCACAGAGCGTGCATTAAGTATTGGCCAAGCTAAGGGCCGTGTGTAAACCATCTACAGCCAAGCTGCCACTGTGCACGTGTAGCAGGTGGTGTGACTAAGGGTTGGCTTGTTTTTTAGGCTTGTTTTTAGTTTGGTTTGAGTCGCTCGCATTCCACAACAGGAGTGTGCATGCAGCAAGCACCGGTTATAGAAGAGCAGCTTTGTGTTTGGGAGTGTGGGTGCAGGAGGCAGTCAAGCACACGCAAGTGTAACGATGGGCACACGAGTCACACGCAACGGTACTGTGTGTGTGTGCGTGTGATCACTCCAGGTTGTTGTTGATGAGGGCCTGCAGGGAGGGCTCATCCGGTTGCAGCCAGACCATGGCTTCAACCATGGCCGGTGGGAAGTCAGCCTTGGCGCCCGTGCGGTAGTCGAAGCTCACCAGCCGCCCACGGCCCTCAGCAGCCACCGTCCCTTTCAGCTTCTCGCTCACCAGCTGTCAGGGTGTGTGAATGATATGAGAAAGAGGGTGGGGGAAATGGGGGTGTAGTTTGAAGCACGGTGGGAGTGAGTATGTGTCAATGAATGAGTGAGTGAGTGTGTGTCTGTGTCGGTGTCTGTGTCTGTGTCTGTGTCTGTGTGTGTGTGAGTGTGTGTCTGTGTCTGTGTGTGTGAGTGGGTGTGTATCTGTGTGAGTGAGTGAGTGTGTGTGTGAGTGAGTGTCTGTGTGTCTGTGTGTTTTGTGAAAGGTGGTTGGAGGTTGAAGCAAAGCCAGAGTACATGTGTGTGCAGTGGGTCAAGTGGGTCAAGTGTACACCCACTCGCCGCACCTGGTAGACGAGCTGAAGCTCATCGCGTTCCACTTCATCGACGCGGATGCCGAGGGAGAGGGTGTCGGGGAAGGTGAGGGGCGCCTTGAACCGCGTGTACGCGTCCGCCATGATGGGGCCGACTGCGTGGGCTGTGCAAAACACAAACAAAACAAAAAACGCGTGAGTGTAGAGAGAGCGAAAATGCATGAGCAGAGGGAGAGAGGGAGGAGAGGGAGAGAGACAGAGAGGTACACACACCCCCAACACAACACACACACACACACACACACACACACACACACACACACACACACACACACACACACACACACAACACAACACAACAACACATCGCACAAAAACAAACAAACAGATAACTTCACAAACCACAAAACCACAAAAACAACACAAATGTACAGATAACAGCGCTTACTGCCAACAAAGTCGGTCTTGGCAAAGTCGCAGAGCTTGTGCAGGAACTTGATGCGGGCGTTCTCAAAGTACCGGAAGTACACGACGTTGTTCACGTGCTGGAAGGCATCCATGTCGCCCCATTGCACCACCTCGGTGTGCCAGACGGGATACTGCTTGGCAAGCTCCTCTGGCACGAAGCTTGGAGGCTTGCAGTCTTCGTGGAACGGCGCAGTGTAAGCCATGCCCCGGCGGCACACCTGAGACACAGAGCCGCGTGCAGCAGAACGGGAGGCGTTGAGCGCCATGGCCATCATCTTCGGTGTGGCCGTGGCTCGCCGAAGCACACACCCTGCGTTCATCATCATCATCGTCATCATCGTCATCGTCAACAAGCAAAGCAACACAGAGCTGATCGCGTCAGCAATTGAAAAATGCGATCACGACAGCAAAAGGTGCATTCATAACTGTTGCGGCAACAATCCCACCATCATCATCCACGCATCCCACTCCCTTCTTCTCTTGTTTTGTTTTTGTGTATCGAGCGTCCACAACACAGCCGTGGTCGTTGCTGCTTCCTCCTGCGTTAGTCGGCCTGTACTCTGGGAACTTTGACGTTGTTCGAGCACACAACGGTAGCTTGTAGACAAGACAGACGATGCAGTTGAGTGGGGGTGTTGGGCGCAGTGCGCGTGCGTTGGCGACGGTGCGTCGCTTGACACGGCTGCGCGCCTTGACTCCGAGCGCAACCCACGCACGGCCCACAACCTTGCGTCGCTCCGTCATTCAACATAACCAGGTATGAACGTGGAACGCGTGCGTGCATGTGTGTGTGTGTATGTGCGTGTGTGTGCGTGTGTGTGTGTGTGTATCTGAGAGTCCTCTCCTGTCTCATCAGTGTCCAGCGTCCTCCTTTGCTGATTCTGGTTGCCTGCTTTGTTGCCTGTTTGTTTGTCGCGTGTTTGCAGCCGGATGCAGCAGCTGTTGTTGCGTCGCCGCAACGGGCATGGCCATCGGCGATAACTCTCGCACGGAGATGTGAGTGTGGTCCTCTGCGTTGTGTGTCGTGCGTTTGTGTTTGTGTGATCGTGTGCGTGTGTGTGGTTGCGTTGTGCCTTTCTCTCAGTCCCTCTCGCACCCACTCTCCCTCGCTCTCACCCCCTCTCGCGTCTCTGATCCTCTTGCTGCTGAAATCAAGGGTCGAGCGATGACGGGTCAAGCGGCGGAAGTGGGGATGGAGGCAATAACAAGGGCAGCAGCGGTGACAAGAACAGCAAGAAGTCAAGCACATCAGGTGTGTGTGTGTGTGTGTGTTGTTGTTGTGCCTGTGTGTGTGTGTGTGTTGTTGTGCCTGCGTTTGTTTGCTCTCATGTTTAGATCCCCCCCTGTGTCTTGGTCGTGCGCCCTTCTTCTCGCTCAATGACGTGTTTCTCGCTCACACCCGCAGAGAAAGACGACGACAAGGGAGGTTCAGACTCTTCCACAGGCACATCGCCGACATCATCGTCGTCATCTTCATCATCAACCACACAAGGAAAGGATGGGAACGATGGAGCAGCCAAGTCCACCAGCAAGGACAGCACAGGTGGTGGCCGTGGTGGTGGTGGTGAGCCGCCAAACGTGTGTCCGCAGTGTGGCGAGGTGCTGAAGATCATTCCAAAGGGACGCCGCCACATTGCCGCGTGCCCGTCTTGCCACTACTTCTTCCTGCGCACCGTTGGCCGCGCTGAAACTTCAACCGACGCCTCAGGTAGGACGTGTTGTGTGTATTTGTGTCTGAGTGTGTGTGTCTGAGTGTGTGTGTGTGTCTGAGTGTCTGAGTGTGTGTGCGTGCGTGTGTGTGTCTGAGTGCGTGTGCGTGTCTCAGTGTGTATGTCTGTATCTGTTCGGCCGTCTTCCCTATCTTTGTTTGCCTGTCGAGCTGTTTCATCGCATGCAACCTCCCACACAACCTCTCTCCCCTCCACCACCATCCGCCACAGCCACTGCAGGCCAAGCCAAGACGGCAAAGAAGCCGGAGGTTCAGGTTTGGGGCCCAAGCACTCCAAAGCCAAAGGAGGTAAGTTGTGTTGCGTGTGTGTGTGATGTGTGTGGAGGCGTGTGCTTGTGCGGATGTGTGTGGAGGCGTGTGTGTGTGTGTGTGATGTGTGGAGGCGTGTGCTTGTGCGGATGCATTGAAATGTGTGTGTGTGTGTGTGTGTGTTACGCTTGCACACCTCGGCCTCTGACGCGCCACTGTCCACCATGCGTGCGATGGCAGATCTTGGACAACTTGAACGACTATGTAATTGGGCAGGACCACGCCAAGAAGACGCTAGCTGTCGCCGTGTACAACCACTACAAGCGCGTCTCCGCGAACCTCAAGGAGGCATCCTCATCGGTGCGTGCGTGCGTGCGTGTGTTGAATGATGATGGTGACTCAAACGTGCTTGAAGGTATGCCAGGAACAACACAGCGCCAGCTTCTCACAACCCTGCACATGCACCACACATTACGCGCCTCCACCCCACACACACACACACACACACACACACACACACACACACAGGCTGCGCATGATGTTCAGTTTGAGAAGAGCAATATTCTGCTGGCTGGCCCGACCGGCAGCGGAAAGACGCTGCTCGCACGCACGCTCGCCAACATCCTCAACGTCCCCTTTGCCATCAGCGACTGCACCACCCTCACACAGGTGCGTCTGAACGTGTTAATATGTGTGTGCGTGTGTGTATGTGTTTGTGTGTGTGTGTTAATGTGTGTGTTAATGTGTGTGTGTGTGTGTTTGTGTGTGTGTGCTTGTGCTTGTGCTTGAGCTTTGCTCGTGTGTGTCGGTGCTTGTGAGTAGACGCGTCGAAGGCAGGTACGCCTCGCGCTGGTGCATGAGCTCACCCTGCGTCCACAAACCTCCAGGCCGGATATGTTGGCGAGGACGTGGAGAGCGTGCTGTACCGCCTGCTGCAGGCCTGCGACTTTGACCTCGACCGCGCGCAGCGAGGTGAGCAGGCAGCAGCAGCGCTGATGATGATGGCTGCGTGGTGTGGTGTTTTGCGTGACTTTTTTTTCTGTTGTGCGCTGGACGTGTGAAATGATGTCACGTCTTGTCGCACCGCATGCAGCTGCCACGTGGCGTGCCTCACACTCCCGCCAACCACCCACACGTTCCCACGAATTGCCCACATGCCAACCCGTTCCCGTGCAGGCATTGTGTTCCTTGATGAGATTGACAAGATCAGTTCGATTTCCGGCAGCGGCGTTGCGACGCGCGACGTCTCTGGCGAGGGCGTCCAGCAGGCCCTGCTCAAGCTCTTGGAAGGTGAGCACGATGTTGGTGGTGATTTGATGAGTGTGAAAGGGGGACCATGCTTCTTTTGCGCACATGTGTGTGTGTGTGTGTCATCCATTCACGATGGTCGGTCGCTGTGAATTGTGTCTCATATGTAACATGCGCAATCGTGCACGTTGTGGCGTCTTACTTTGCTTGCAGGCACGGTTGTGAATGTGCCTGAGAAGGGCGGGCGGAAGAGCCCGCGTGGCGAAACCATCCAGATTGACACGAGCAACATCCTGTTCATTGCATCTGGCGCCTTCAACGGCCTTGAGGACCTCATCAAGAAGCGCGAGGAAAAGGGGGTCAGTGCGCTGTGTTTGTTGGTTTGTTTCTGTTTCTGTTTCTCTGTGCGTGGTTCTGTACGTGGTTCTGTTGTACTCTGTTTCTGTTTCTGTGCGTGTTGTTGGAGCATTTGCCTTTTTTGAATTACTCTCTCGTTCATATTCCATCTTGGCTGTGTGTCGTTCCCCCTTTTGCAATTCTCACCGGTGCATTGCCGCTGCGCTGCACGCCACCATGTCCACGACCGCCAGTCGATCGGCTTCAACGCCGCGCTCAAGACGCCGAACAAACCCGTGGACGGGCAGATGCTGCGGAAGGTGCAGGCCGACGACCTCGTCAAGGTGACCCTTCGCGTTCAACCTTGCATGCAATGGCATTGCTGCTCAAGCTCTGCTACTTGATGCCCTCAACAATACTACGGACCACAGCGACACACAGCAACAACCACACGCACGCACGCACACACACGCACACGCACACACACACGCGCGCGCACACGCGAGCTCTATCACATCACCCTGCAAACGTCCACGTTTCTCTCATCAACAAACACCCCCTTGCCCTTTGCTGTTGCTGCAGTTTGGGCTGATTCCGGAGTTTGTTGGCCGGTTCCCGTGCGTGGTGCACCTCGAGGCGCTGACAGAGAGCGACCTCGTGCGTGTGCTCACGGAGCCGAAGAACAGCCTCGTCTCCCAATACCGCGCCCTCTTCCGCATGGAGAACGTGAGCACACCTAATGTATATGCATGGTTGCATGTGCGATTGCATGTGTGATTGCGTGTGCCTGCGCGCTTACCTGCTTGCCTGCTTGCGTGTCGATGTTCTGCTGCTGGCCCTCACACGTGCATCCCCCCTCCCAACCAACGCCGCAGACGGACCTTGTGTTTTCGTCGTCGTCGCTGCGGGCGTTTGCGAAGAAGGCGCTGGACCGCAAGACGGGTGCACGCGGCCTGCGCACGTTCATCGAGCAGGTGCTCCTGCAGCCCATGTACGACGTCCCAGGCAGCGACATCGCCACCGTCATGATCACAGACAAGGTGTGTGTGTGTGGGTGTGGGTGTGGGTGTGTGTGTGGGTGTGGGTGTGGGTGTGGGTGTGGGTGTGTGTGTGGGTGTGGGTGTGGGTGGGTGGGTGGGGGGGGGGTTGTTCTCGTGTGACAGCATGCGTCGTCCACTGTGCACGATGTCGTGAACTCTATGAACTCTATGCTTCGTCACGCTCCCTCCCTCACACACACACACACACACACACACACACACACACACACAACACAACACACACACACTGTCTCTCAGACGGTGCTTGAGGATGAGGCGCCGCTGTACATTACGCACTCCGAGATGAGCAGCAGTACGACGCAGCAGCAGCAGCAGCAGGACGACGAGGCTGAGGACGATGTCTCGGCCACAAACTAGACAGCACCACGCACTGGTGCATTATTCTAATGCACTGATTCGTGCGCGTTGGTGTGCACGCCTTGCTCGTGCTCCCTTGTTTCTCTGTCCTCACGTTTGCACGCACGTGCGCAGATACCCGCGTTCGCGCAGACACAGTTAGAGCTCTGGTGTTGGTTTGTTGATTGGTTGGTTTGTTGGTTGACACTTAAAAATGCTTTCTCGGCTTGCCAGCTCATGAATGTGAATTGAGAGGTCTGGTTGTTTATTGATGTGGGAGACAAGCGATAACACACATGCACACAACTCACACGCACACGTTCGCGCACACATACACACACACACACACACACACAAGTACACACCCCACGTATCACTTGTCGTGGCCTGGCGTGGCTGCTGCTGTTGTTGCTGCGTTTGTCTGTGTCTTGTTCTTGTCGTGTGCTTCGCGTGTCTTCTTTGCCTCAATGGCAAGCTGGAGATCCTGTGCCGTCACTTCCACAACGCCGTCGTGCTCCTGCTTCCGCACGCTCTCTCCTTTGCTCTTGAGCATCTCCTCGATGTTCCTTTGATTGGAGGCAGGTTGGGGTTTGGTCACACAGTCGAACACACGATGGCAATGCGCTTGGTGTGAGTGGAGGAGTGGTGCATTCGCAACAAAGGCGTGCCTCAGCGCAACACCCCGCACGTCGTACTCAATTACAGTTGCTGCTGTATGTAGCACACATGCAGCCAACACACTCACTTGCCACCGCCGATGCCTTTGAACCAGCCGAGGTTGTCTGCAATGAGATGCTTTGCATCACACCCTGGACAATTGACAATCACAACCCCTGTAAAAGTGCATGTGAAACAATGATGAGGGTGTGTTGATATGCGTGTGTTCGTGCATGGGCACACAGCGGCTCGCTTCCCACACGGGCACATTCAAAGAGAGGGAGCGAGGGAGAGCGAGAGGGAGCGAGGGAGAGCGAGAGCGAGAGAGCAACCAGCACACACACGCACACATACGCACATGCAATCCCTCTCCCTCGTACATACACACACACGCATACACACGCACACACACACACACACACACACACACACCGTTGTGGTAGGCCTGTTTGGAGAAGGTCTTGCTTCCTCGGTTACCACACTTGTTGCACGTAAAAACGACGGCATATGTACCCTCCAATGGCGTTCCCTCATTGAGTGCCTGGCCTTTGTTGTCGTTGTGGTTTGCTGAGGTGTGCGCTGCTACACGTGCTGATGATGACAAAGGCTGTCTCAGTGCCATTACCGGCAAGGCGCAGCTGCTTGGCCTTATTCTTCTGCTGCTGCCAAGACCAGTTGCTGTCAGTGTTGACGACAGTGCTGACGCAGTCGTGCGTGCCAGCAGCAGCCGCCGTGGCACTGCTGCTGCTGCTGCTGCTGCTGCTGTTACCGCCACTGCTGTACGGCGTGTGCTTGTAGCGGCCACCGAGCAGCGCGCAGCCGCTGTTGCGCGCATCATCATCGTCGCCATCACCATCGCCATCGTTTTGTCTGTCGCCGTGTCGCACCGAATTGAAAAATATACGCGACAGCATAAAGTGCAGGTTGCTATGCTCGCTTGCATTTTGCGCGGCGCGACGACGACGACACAACCCACCAGGCTACACACGAACAGCAGCTAAACACAACTGAGAGGAGGGCACGTTGACGTGTTTTCCCCCACCATCCACTTCATCCACACGACACATCCTTCATTCTGAATCACCACCTCACAGACCGTCTCACCATGCCCAAGACAGCCATCAAGAGTGGGCTGGAGATGGGCTTCTTTGGCCAGCCAGCCTTTGTGACCATCAATGATCCCTACAACAAGAAAGGTGCGCTCCCTTGCTGTCGATCAGACCGCCGGTCCTCCCGTCGTCGCTGTTGCACGTCTGTGTGTACGTGTGTGTACGTGTGTGTGTGTGTTTGTGTTTGTGTGTGTGTGTGTGTGTGTGTGTGTGTGTGTGTGTGTGTGTGTGTGTGTGTGTGTGTGTGTGTGTGTGTGTGTGCCCCGAGCCCTGATTCACAGTCGGTTGCGGTGCTTTTGCTCTTTTTGCATGTGCTCAATACCAACAGAGAAGCTGCCGCCTGCCGCCAAGGGACGGCAGATGATGACGCTGCGCCAGAACAGGCCATTTGACAATCCTCCACGCGCCTTTGAGGTAAAGCAATGGGGGACACGAATCGACACACGTTGGATGGGCGAGCGGACATCTGCATGTCGGCGCCACTGCAGAAACACTCACTCACACACACACACACACACACACACTTTCTCTCTCTCTCTCTCTCTCTCTCTCTCTCTCTCTCTCTCTCTTGGGTCTCATCTTGCTTGTGTTGCTCACTGTGATGTCACCCTTATTTTTGTCAACACCACCACCCCAAGGGGGAGGCATATCACGATGCCGTGAAGCAACGGCGCAAGGAGGAGCGACGCTCGAAGAAGAAGCAGCTGACCTACAAGTTCACGCCATCCGGGTGGGTTGCCGCCACCATTTCCTCACCACAACATCAAGAACGCAATGAGCCTAGTTGCACTCGCTGGCGAACCTATCACTCTGTGATGTTTTTGTTTCCACCTGTGCTTGGTGGACCCTCGATGAAGCATCGCCTTGCGCTCTCACACCGCATCATAGCTCACCTCGCATCTCTCCCTCCTTCCCCTCGCTCATTGTTGCTCATAGCACTGGCCATGACACCTTCAGTGGACCGGTCAAGTATTTTTCGCCGCAGCAGCGCCCGCAGAAGAAGGCGCCCAAGGAGCCCTCCAACTTCTACACCAACCCGAGCAAGAAGGGATCAGGCTTTGGCTATGCAAACGTCACCCTCTGTACGTCACACCATAATGTACATAAACAACACGCGTGCCCCAGCTCACATACGCACACACACACACACACACACACACACACACACACACACACACACACACACACACACACACACACACACACACACACACGCACGCACACACACACACACACACACACACACACACACACGCACGCACACGTACACATGTCATTTGTAACGAACGAAAATTGCCCACTGACCTCACTTCCGCACACCACCACCGTCGCGCACGTGTTGGTGTGCATGCAGCCCGCACGCTGCCTTACATCCCAAGTGAATACGATCGCGCAGACAAGCTCCGCCGCAAGGAAGAAAAGTACGTGGCGGGGAGATGGGTGTGCATGTATGTGTGTGTGTATGTGTGTGTTTGTGTGTGTGTGTGTGTGTGCATGTATGTGTGTGTGTCTGTGAAATAAGTGCTGCGGTCGTGATGCCGTCGTGTGACGAGGCCATCACTGGCCGGTGGCGTTGTGCCGCTATCCAAACAACAACAACAACAACAACAATAACAACAACAACAACCTCCTCACGTCCACGTGCGTGTGTCGCGGTGCCGGCTCCAGGGCGGCGAAGAGCAAGATGAAGGGAAAGGCATTCAAGTCCGTGTGCGGAAATGGAAAGACAAGTCGCCTGTTTGACGACAATCCGTTCAGAGAACCAGGTGAGCACCAAGCCCAATCGGCATGTTGCCGCCGCCGCCGCTGCCGCTGCTGCTGTTGTTGTTGCTGTTTAAGCTGTTGTTGTTGCTGTTTAAGTTGTTGTTGCTGTTGTTGCTGATGATGTTTGGAACACCGGCAATGGTTGTCGTGTTGAGGGGAAGTCGCCGCTTCACACACCACATCCAAAATAGTCCAGAGTCACGCCACTCACTCCCTTTCTTGATTGTATCGTTCAACGCCTCATCACCACCACCCGCACCGATTGCATGCACGTCTCACAGAGAAGAAGATCAAGGCGAAACCGAAATCCGCCCCACCACAGAAGAAGGTTGACATTCCATTCAAGCCAACAGGTGTGTGCGTGTGCGTGTGTGTGTGCGTGTGTGTGTGTGTGTGTGCGTGTGTGCATGCGTGCGTGTGTGCGTGCATGCGTGTGCCCGAGTTTTGACCAGGTTTCATGTGGTGGAAAACATGCCACGTTCACACGCATACACCCCACACACAACCAAGCATTCGCACAACTCATCTCACATCCCACTTGACACCCAAACAGCGACGGTTGCGTCTCGCCACGCCAAACCGGGTGCATCATCCACGCTCGACACGTTCTCCAAGTTCGACTACAAGCCCGAGCCGTACAAGAAGAAGACGCCGGTATGCTCCTGCACTTGCGTGGCGTGTGTGTGTGTGTGTGTGTGTGTGTGTGTGTGTGTGTGTGTGTGTGTGTGTGTGTGTGTGTGTGTGTGTGTGTGTGTGTGTGTGTGTGTGTGCGTGTGTGTGTGTGTGCCTCTGCTCAGGCAAGCATGCTGTTTACAGTGTCTGTCAAAGCCACCATGCACCTCAAACCACCGCCACCACCACGATCACGTGCCTCGATTGCTGTGCAGAAGCCGAAAGGAAAGCCGCTTGGGCCTCCGTTCCGGCCGTGCGCACCGGCAAAATCATCCTACTCGCAGTCCATTTCGGGCATGCACGCCATGCGGACCGCAAAGAGATGATGATGATGGTGATGATGATGATGATGATGATGATGATGATGATGATGGTGATGATGATGATGATGATGATGATGATGATGATGATGATGATGATGAGAAAGGGAACCACAGGTTAAGGGGCTGTGTTTCGTTGAGGGGCTCGTGTATGTGTGTGTGTGTGTGTGTGCGTGTGCGCGCGCGCGTGATGTGTGTTGTGTGTGTTACACCTTTTGGGGCTTGTTCTAAGCCACCACTAAGCCAATCGTACCGTCGTCTTTGTTTTCTTTATTGCTGCGTGTGGTGATGGGATATGATATGTTGCTTCTCCTGCTCGCTCGTGCCTTGTGTGCTTCTTTCTTTCTTTCTTTCTTTCTTTCTTTCTTTTTTTGGAGAGAGAACAGGCGTGATTTGATTGTTGCCTTTTCAATGACCAACAGACCCACGAAACAGAGCTGACAAGTCAACATGCCACTGCGCGTTCTATGCACCAGCCATGAACGCCCTCTTCGGACACACACTGTCACACACGGCACGCATGCACGCAAACACACCGCACACGCACACACACACTTGCGCCACACACACACACACACACACATTCACGCCACAAGCAACACTGCATGCACCCCCACTATGCCCTCTCCTTGTTTTTCTGCTTCGCCTTCTTCTTCCTGTCGCTCTCGGCTGCAGAGAGAGCAGCACTCGCAACGTCGCCGTCAAACGCGTGCAGTGAAATGTCGGACACAGCCTATGTGTGTGTGTGTGTGTGTGTGTGTGTGTGTGTGTGTGTGTGTGTGTGTGTGTGTGCGCATGTGTGTGCGTGCGTGCGTGCGTGCATGTGTTTGTGTGTGTGTGCGTGCGTGCGTGAGTGTGCGTATGTGTGTGTAAACAGGTTGTCAGCTTGGTATGGCAAGCGGCACCGAAGTATGCAACAACACACACAGCGCAAGCTCTTGCGCGCACAGCAACGCACCCCTGGCTTTGCAGCGTAGCACGTCATTTTCCAGAGAACCACTTCATCCATCTCAAGCTTTCGGTTGAATCCCAAGTGCTCAAAGTGCGGATACACAGCATCATCGTCGTCTTCGTCAGCAACGAGCTGAAGCAATCACGTGCACGTGCGAACGCGTGAGGACGTGAGGACGTGGCAGAACATGGCTTGAAGTACAACGTCTGACATATGTATGCATCCAAAGTGAATGCGTGGTTGCGTGTGTGTGTGTGTGTGTGTGTGTGTTCGTGCGTGTGTGTGTGTGTGTGTGTGTGTGTGTGTGTGTGTGTGCGTGTGTGTGTGTGTGTGTGTGTGTGTGTGTGTGTGTGTGTGTGTGTTCGTGCGTGTGTGTGTGTGTGTGTGTGTGTGTGTGTGTGTGTGTGTGCGTGTGTGTGTGTGTGTGCGTGTGTGTGTGTGTGTGTGTGTGTTTCGTTCTCCCTCCCCCCTCTATCTCCGTGTGCGTGTGCGTTCACCTGTGTGTAGATCTGGAAGAAGCCGCGACGTGTCAACTCGCCTTCTTCAGCGTCAAAGTTCTCTGTGCAAACGCATCAGAGAGCACAAACACGCACGCAAGCAGACGCAGATGCAAAAGTGAGTCAGTCGTCACCGCAGCACTTTACAACAACAAAAGACAACAACAAAAGACAACAACAAAAGACAACAACACCATCATCACCATCACTGCCGCTGCTGCTGCTGCTGCTTACCAATGATAAACTCCCACACGTCATCCTCGCACTCCTCGCCATCTGTCTGTTTCAAGAGCGCATTGTATTCGCTCCGGCTCAAACGTCCGTTTCGCCGCGTGTCAAAACTCCTAAATGCCTCATCCAGCGCCGTCGTCGCCTGCAGTGGTGCGGCGGGTCGTGTGAATTTATGTGTGTCTCTGTGTGTGTGTGTGTATGTCTGTGTGCGTGTGTGTCTGTATGTGCGTGAATTTTGTGTGTCTGTGTGTGTGTCTGTGTGTGTGTGTGTGTGTCTGTCTGGCTGTCCGTCTGTCTGTCTGTCTCTGTGTGTGTGTGTGTCTGTGCGTCGTAGCAACAGCAGTGACATGCATGTGCCCAGAGTTCGTCCACCCGAGAGGCCGCACCTGCTCTGTAAACGACTTTGCGTCATTGTCGTCGGTGATGCACAACGGGGCGAGTGGCGTCTTCTTCGCCTTCTTTTCATCGCGCGGCTTCAGCGTCGGCTGAGACGTCGGCACAATCGTGTACGTGCCTGCATACAGGGATCAGCGAGAGAGGGTGTGTGTGTGTGTGTGTGTGTGTGTCCGCATGAGTATGCGCACACGAATGCATTCTGCGCATTCGAGCATCAACGACAACAAGAACGACGTGCGCAAACTTGCTCCCCTCACCGGGATCCAACTCGACAATGATCGACTGCACGTCTCGGTTCGCGCGGCGCGTGCGTGTGCGGCCAATGAACTTGTTGTTCTCCTGACAGAGAAGAGGAAGAGGAGAAGAACAGAGCGCAGCGAGTGTAGCGTGACCGCATGAGTGCCAATGTGACCGTGGGCAGCCGTTCAAGTCAACAACACACACACACACACACAAACACACAGTACGCGCGCGCAAACACTTTCGCGCACTACATCGGCAAGCATCACACACGTACGGCCCATCTGCTTACGTCCACAATGACACATCCCGGCGAAACGGAAGTTGTGTCCACCGACGATGACGACCGCTCCACGTCAATCAGCAATCGCGTTTTCTGTGTCATGAACAAAATCGCGCGCACACGCACACAGTGACAGCAGAAGCGGCGTGGCAAACGCGCGTGAGATGTTTGTGGCACCACAAGGAGGAGGAAGGAGAATCAGTGCGCCTCATTTGCGCTCGTGTACATGTGTGGCTTATGCTTTTCCCACTTTGGTCAAAAAAATTAGCCCATGCAATGTGCGGTGACATGACACAATAACGTTATGTGGGAGGTAATGCACACACGAACGGCCTGAAGCCACCGCCGACCTTTGTTGGCTTGATTTCAAACAGCTGCGAGGATGGGGGGCCCTCCTTCTGTGCCTGGATGCGCCCAAACAGCTCCCATCGAGTCCACGCCTGACCCCACATGTGCGCACATGTGTAGTGAGTTGAGGTATGTGGAGGCAGCCACAACAAAAGACACTCCTCGCACATGCTTGCAGATGCATACATACAGAGCGTGTTTGAGTGCGTGTGTGTGCATTTGCGCCCATTCACAAGCGTACACAATCACATAAACACATACACACACACCTTCAGAGCAGTGGCAGATGGGCGCGTCGCCTTCTTGTCCTTTTCATCCTGTTCCTTCTTGTTCTTCTTTTCCACCTCCCTATCTTTCCCGCGGCGACTGCGACTGCCTTCATCGTCATCACCATCATCATCATCATCATCACCACCATCATCGCCATCATCATCGTCACTGCTGTGACCACGGCGCCTTCGCCTTGCTGCTTCTGTATCCCGAGCGTCCTTCGTCCTACCTCTCAAAGACTTACTGCCCCCTTCAATCCTCCTGTCGTCATCATCACCATCATCATCACCATCGCCCTCGCTGTCATCGTCGTCATCTTGTGTTGTCCTCCCCTTCTTGGTTCTGCGCACTGCTGCTGCTGGTAACCGGCCGCTCTTGGTTGTCCCCGATCGCCCACTCCGCTCTGCCCTCGTCTTGTCCGCCCGCCTCCCTGGTCCTGCCCGTGTGCGTGTGCGTCGCTTGGATGAAGCGACTGAACGACTGCCGTTGTCGTCATCTTCAGCATGATCGTCACGGCTGCCGGTGCTGCCGTTGTTTTTATTGTCGCTTGACGGCGGTGGCTGCATCTGCTTGATCTGGTCTGCAAACGCCAAACACATGTTGCAGAACTGGATACAACGTGGCAGTCGTCACAACATATGCACGAGAAAACGCGTGAGCGCTCGCAGGCATGCATGGGTTAACGTGGTGCAGGCAATGTATCAGTGGGCACAACATGGCATGGGCACCACGCTGCTCGCTGACCTCATGATACTCGATGGATCCGCTCTTGTCCGTGTCAAACTTCATCACGTCCTCCACCTCGGATCGCGTCATGCGCTCGCCGTACTGCGTGTGGTGGAAGTGGGTGGATGTTTGTGTGGTCGTGTGTGTGATGTAAGTGGGTGGATGTTTGTGTGGTCATATGTGTGTAAATATGCGTACATGTGTTTGCATGTGCTGGTGAAAACAAGGACATGAGCAACACCAGGGCCAGTGTGCTACAAAAGCCATCCATGCACCTACATTCATGAGAGCCTTTTCGAGCTCTTTGCGCGAGAGGGACCCATCTCCGTTCTCATCAATGATCTTGAACGCCTGCACGAGGTCGTCTGTTTGAAGGGTGCACGCGCAGCGAGCGACAATCACACAGATGAACAACCAATGAATCTGAAGCAGCGCAGAGAAGGAGGAAGAGTGGTGTGAGACAGCGGGTGCAAGGAGGCGCACCGGCTGTAGTTGGAGGGATGCGCGCTGTGAGCGTGCGCAGGTCTTCCATGGAGTACAGCTCGTCAGCCGGTGCAACTTCAGCCGCAAAGTCCCGCATCACCTGAACAGCACGTGAGTGAGTGAGTGAGTGTAGGCGAGTGAGTGAGTGAGTGAGTGAGTGAGTGAGTGAGTGAGTGAGTGAGTGAGTGAGTGAGTGAGTAAGTGTGCAGGTGGGCGAGTAAGTGTATGTGCATGTAAACATGCGTGCACACGTGTCTATCATGTACAGATGCATGTTCATGCACGTGTGTGTGTGTGTGAACTCCTCCTCCCTGAAGCGGTGCATGTCTCAAACGTGTTCATGTACGCACAGCCACCACGACCACACATCTTACTTTGACTTCTCAAACATGTGAAGCACACCTTTTTGGTTGGGTTAAACCCCATGAAGTGCACTGCATCCAACAGTTGTTTGCGGGTGATTCGATCATCTCCATCCGGGTTCACGGCCAACCACGCCACCTCAATCCCAGCCGCACCATCCCCACCATCCCCACCAGCTCTCCTCGTCCTCCTCGTCTTGCCCATTTGTGCTGCTCTTTGGTTTGTTGGCTGTCCGTTGCCAGGGTGCGTCTGCATTCCCGGTGGCCCACATTCGGCTGTAATTGCACCTGCAATTGGCAAATCAGCTCCTTTCCCAGTCGGCCACACCGCAAAACAACCAAAGCCCAAAGTGTCTGAGCAGACACCTCTAACTCATGTAAACCAACCAACAACCCGGCCAGACGGAGACAGAGAGAAAGAGAGAGGGAGAGAGAGAGAGAGAGAAAGTATGCGTCCGTGTGTGTGTGCGTGTGCGTGACTTAATAGGGCCCTGTTAACCGCCTGTGCGGGTTTTATTTGGTGTGACATTCCCTGCACGAGATCTTCTATATTGCTATTCAACCACATCAACAACCATGTCTCGAACTACAAAGACGCGTGCATCCTCAGACTAACACAGGATGCGCCCCACACGCGCAGGTCCCTCCTAGTGTCATTCATATGCAGCAGAACACGTCACAGTGAGCAGGGTGTAACCGCAAACACACCACACACGCACCACCCCATATGGCGCACCATGTGCAAGCGCGCGTGCACCCGG